AGGCCTCAAACAATCTCTTATGGCAGCACCAGCCCTGTGGCTGAGAGTCACAGTAACCCAAGCCTGATACCACAGTGAGTCACAGTAACCCAAGCCTGATACCAAAGTGAGTCACAGGCCTCAAACAATCTCTTATGGCAGCACCAGCCCTGTGGCTGAGAGTCACAGTAACCCAAGCCTGATACCGCAGTGAGTCACAGTAACCCAAGCCTGCCTAGTTCTAACAAACCCATAGGACGTTCTTTCCGTTCCCCCAGATAGGTGGTAGGAGGGGTGTCGGGTTTACTGCGTTCCACAGAGCGTGACTATGACATTCCTCACCCCAGCCTCGAGTCGTGACACCGCGGCGCACTAAGATAAATAACCCTAACCCTGAAGCAGTTCGGAAAATGCAGCGCAACTCAATTTACCCTCGGCATCTGGCAACTTTCATTTGCACCCTCCGTGACCGTGACGAGAGGGGAGGAGTCACTTAGCCTGTCAAACTGGCAAATGATCTAATTTATAGCTCCAAAACCCCCTCAATCTTCATTTACCCCGGATGGCGGCCGCAGGTGTTATTTTGGGCTGTATACACCAGGGGCAGAAAGCACTTAAATACTTCCAGGAGGGCGGCCTGGCAGAGACACGAGGCCTGCATGCGTCCTGCGTGCTGGCATGCGATGGCCGTACCGCAGGACTGGCGTCGGCTGCCACATTCCGGCTGGCGACTAACAGAGATGGGGGGTCCCGTCGTGCTAAATGCATATGGGGAAGCCACATATGCCCTCGTGTTTGGGACCTAAAATGCCAGGAATGTCCAGGATTTTTCTTTCTTTCAGGCTGAGATTTGCTTACTACAGTCAAAATACTTTCTGTGTGCATGTTTGCGTTCCTTCGACGCCTCTCTGTGTCCGGCCACTGCTGTCCTCTTTATGGCAAAGCAAAATATGCAGTGTGACTCTTAAAAAATTACACGCACACGCACACGCACACGCACACACACGCACGCACGCACGCACGCACGCACGCACACACACACACACGCACACGCACACGCACACGCACACGCACACACACACACAGACAGGTTTGTAAATATATCTTTGTGGGAAGATATATATGTATATATATATACACTGTACTGTACATATACACACACACTCATATATATTATATATAAGCCATCATAGTTTACATGCTGCTATTATTTGCACAAAATTACACCTGTTTCATTTAAATTAACAGCAAAACTGAGAAAATCCATTCTGTTAGTAAAAATGTTAAAAAGGCAAAAGACTTTTCATGTCCTAAACAGCCTTCAAAAAATCCTACATACTTAGTCCTGTGATAACCTTGGGAACAGAACAGAGACTCTGCTTTTGTGCAGTGACTCATTACTGTATTTGCCCATTTGGTTGGGGACCGCAGGAGACACATAATGAAGAATTCATCCTCTGACAAAACACAAAAAAATAATTTCATCACCACAGTTGTGCAGAAACACATTATTCGGTGTTCGAAACGCATCACACTGCCACCCTCTAGCTAACAGTGAGCAGCTCCCCCCTCCCACCACCAATCTGGGCGAATGGAAAGAATGTCTTACGGGTTTGACAGAACCCCCCCTGCCCGCGCTGCCAATCACGTTATTGTTATTGATTGCCGCTGTCAGAGGGAGTCACCCCAAGCATGGCGATTATACAGGGACTCAGGTAATTATTCACTTTGCTGGGAGAGACACACAGCTCCCCCGGTGGCCTTTTCTCCTGCAGTCACCATCTATTTTCCCCTGAATGGCTTTGAAACACCTATGAAGTCACACCTATTATATCACCGGAGAACCACGGACACCGGCCCATTGAGGGATTTCATTTTCACACGCGTGTGGACGTACACATGATTTATATGCATTAGGAGGACACACTGCGCTGATATTACTCGGTACGGCATGTACCGGAAGGGAGTGCGGACGCCTTAAATCAGGCGGGACGGCGTGCAGGATACCCAGGGAAGGGTTCAGTCGCAGAGTTTTGGGAGTTGGGTCAAAGATGTGTTAGAGGTCTTAGCGAATGCATGTTGGAAGTCTCCGGAGACGAACAGACGTTCCGGTGTCCTCTGGGTCCCTGCAGCTCAGAGGTTCCAGGGCTCCCGGGGGAAATTAAATTTCATTTTTCAAAAGGTGCAGGGAGCATATTCCTCGCTGCTCAGGGACACACTTGGAAATGACTCCCCAACATATATAATCCCACAATCCAGAGGTCATCTCTGCCATAAAGTACTTTGCTTAAGGGTTGACGGAAATTCTTCCAGCCAGCAAGAGAGACCCATAATCTGATTAGCGGGCCACAATTACATTAATGAGCTTCACTGATGAACATCCACAGCCTGGTGCCTCTGAGTCTTCTTATTAACCAAAAGGGCAAGACGTAGATAAAATAAAGGGCATCAATCCATACCCCTAATAGGTGTCCATGCGCCGTATTTTCCATCCTTTTGTCATGTAAAGCAGCTAAAAACTGAAAGGAACAAAATAACCGTTTAATGACAACCATCAAACTGCATTTGAACTGCCAGTGACCACAAAATTAAACCACCATAGTGTCTCTATTGAATTTAGAGATTCTCCATTAAAATAAACCTGCCTGATTCTAAAAATGATCAAATGCAATGAAAGAAAACACGAGGCCTTACTGGTCACGCTCAGAACAGATTTCCTCTAGTTGATACCCAGCACGACTGAGAAGATCTGAGACCATGAAGAATTCCGCAGATTTAAGATGTCGGTTTCTTTTAAAACACAGGGGCACTGCGGGTAGCTTGCAGAATTGTGGGCTCGACTGCTGGCCCCAGCTGTGTTTAAGTGGGTTTTCCTCTGGGCACTGGGGCTTCCTGATGCTGTCAAT